AAAGACATTAAAAATGTTACGGGGTACGAAAATTGAGCCAAAAAAGGCATGTTCAAGTGGTGAAGGATCCTAGTCGTTTTCATACTAGCACTTCGATTTGCTTTGTATTAAAATCGATTTTTAGAATCACTGCCAATCATATTGGGTTTCCTCATTCGTGATGTTGAGAAAGAAAATCAGTGGGAGAGGGTTGATTTGTTACAAGCCCATGTAAGCTTCATTCTGTTTCAAATCATCATATCATAACATGGAAGCCAATTTTGCCAGCTAAAAGTAACTGTGAGAAGTTAGAGAAGTTCGTGAACAAAGCAAAGCTTATTTGAAGTCAAGATGCTTTTTGATTACAGTATAAACTAAACACCAGGAGCCGTGGAGCGCCTTAAATTTGTTTGACTACTCGACACCCGCTCACGTTAGACCTGCCATTTCCTCTAAAAAAATCGCTGTTCTATTTCTGGCACATGAAGTCAAAGAACGATGAAATATACTTCGAGAACCAAATCACATAATAAAAAAGGAAAAAGGTCACTCTCCGTGTGAAACACAACAAAAATATCGTTCAAAGATTTTTATTTTAAGTCGACAATTTTCAACTTCACCTCGCCCTCTCTAGGAAAACTATTTCTTTTCACCGTCAGTAGACAAAAAATTGTTGAAACTTCACAACTAGATAACTCTAAGGACAGAAATCGATATTCAATATAAATAGATAACTAGATAACTCTTAGAACGGAAAATCAATGTTCAATATAAATAAAATACCCCAACAAATGTAGCATGGAAGTTTCAAATAGTGTTTTTCATTTAAATTCATGTCAGAAAAAATTTTAAAATATATTCAATATTATTAATAAAAATTCACTTTACACCCAAACAATCGAAAGAAGACGGTAAGATGTTTCCATTAACCGTTAAATTGCTGCTTGAAGTTTCAAATAATACCAGCTTCCGCGATTTCGGAAACTTCATATTTCAGCTACAATTTCACGTATCCGTTGTTTTACATGATCTCTCAGGCGATTTTCTCTTCTGAAATTGAACAAACCATTGTTCAACGGGTTGAACGTCACAAAACTTGAATCAAACAATCACAACGGTCAATCAAAACAAAGGAAACATAACAAGGAGCCAATGAGAACCCCTGGTCATAACAAGTAACCTGCCTCAGTGGCGGGAAAACGCGGGTGACTAAGTCGCGGTTTGATTCAGTATTGGATATGATTGGTTGAGAAGCTGGTGCGACTCATAGATAAATCATCGAATTACTTTTGGCCTCTGTTTCCGAGCGAGTCCTGGTGCTCATGCTTTCATACGTCATAGGTTTTCATTCACATCCGAATTAAACTCATTTTCACACGAACGGTTGACCACCAGGCCTTGTTTTGAAAAAGAGGCCAAAGTTTATTCAGAAATGGCCTCTACAAGTGCGGATTCCTCTTAACACTGAATTGAAAATTGTTCAATAGTCGCATTGAGGTTACACGAGCTTTGTAGCTCCTCTTTACTGGTCAACTGCGTCATTTGTCTTTTCTGCCGCCGACTGGAGTAGTTTCATCATTTCTCTGTTTTCAAAAATCTCTGCGTTTTTCAGCGGTGTAAAGCCGTAAAGGTCTCGCGAGTTCAAATCAACGCCGCACTCCAACAAAAATTTAACCGTGTTCACATTATTTCGACAAACAGCCTAAAAACAATGGAAAAAAAGGGAAAAACATATCAGTATTTCACCGTGCACCACGCCCTATTTTTAACTCAAAATCACAAGCAGTCAGCCACTTAACTAACATATTAAAAACACGAGAGACAGACTGTTTCCTCTATTTAGCTCCGAGCTATTTTACCTCAGTATGAGAGAAATAATTGAACAAACTCACCACATGTAAAGCCGTTCTCCTGTCGTAATCACCAACATTAAAATCAACTCCAGCTAAGTGCCAGGCCCGCAATCTATCGACCTTATCATCAGCGGCAAGAGAGCATATTTCAAGGGCTGTGTTCACGGTGGTGGGTCCTAAATGAGCCCCAAACTCCCTGAGAAGTAAAATGGCCTCCTCGTTATTACTACGAATGGCATCGTGCAAAGGGGTTTGTCCATGATTATCGAAAACGTGCGGCGAGGCACCTTTCTCCAGAAGATACCGAATGACTTGCAGCTGACCCTCCAGGCATGCTACATGAATCGGAGTGCGGCCATCGTGACTTGTAGCAGCGCTTAATAAACCACCCTGTAAACAAAATACGAAACAAATTATATGTTGCGTGAGGGAACCAATTAGATTGCAAGCGTGGTTCTGAAGCACAAAGCACTTCCATTAAAGCCAATATTTCATCCCTGCTTCTTAGCCTCACAGGATGAGTGCTTTTCATCAAAGGCCAAGTCATTAAGGAAATCAATTGTTTGGGACTTAGATCCTCGCCAACTTCAGATATATACCTGTTGACGCAGGTCTTCCATAGCATCAATGTCGCCCCTTCCTGCAGCGTGACACATTAACACTGGAAATAATGCTTGCTTGATGAACCTCACTTCCTGTAATAGAAATATGTGTGACACAGAAAAACAGTAAGTATGACAATCCAAAAGCCCAGAGCAATCCCGATTTAAGTTTCGTCCGCTACGCACCGTTGAAACACCTAAATAAGTCATGATTGGCTTAGATTTTACATCTTAAAAGTTTGTTACATTGTACTTTTTCCAAGTCAGTTAACTGAGAGTACAAAACAAATTGAAATACCCAGGGAATGGTAAGGAAGTGCTTCTAAGAGTGAACTTAGAAGATTTCACAGCTGTCTTTTCTTGTCACGCATGGGAGTGTTGCGTAAGAAGCCAAAATGAGGCCCTTTTTTCAGGCTGGCGGTGTGTAAAATTCCTTTATCTTAAGTAAGGAAAAGAGTAAGGAGATGAATTGTTACGACCTGATGAATGAACAATCAATGTATATTAGTAGCTCGAGAGAAAACTCTGAGTCGCAAAAACGTTTCCATCGTCCGTCACTTCCAGTCCACTATGATAAGGTAGAAAATACTTGGTTACACCATCCTAGTACAAAAAAAAAATCTATATATAGCACCTTAACCAGGAGATATCAACGAAAGCAGTTCTAGCTACTTTCGAAATCCCTTGAAATCACTCAGAAATACCAGGAAAAAAAAAGGCAAAAAAAAGGCGTGGTAGGGAGCTTATTGCTAACGCCGATCTAAGCTTTGCTCACCTCGGTTGAACCGACTTTGAAATGTGAAGCCACTGCATCGATCAGTTCATTGTCCCGCAAAGAAAACTGTTGCATATTTTCGTCTTTGTACGGTGTCAACTCTCCAC